TTTTATCCAATAACTAGAGTTGAGGACCCCCCCAATACATTTCCTCACCAATACTCATTACTCCAAATATATATCCCACTAACCCATTATGGAAGCTGACTTTTTTTTTCTTCTAAGAAATGTGAAATCTGTGCAAGGCAGATGGACGGAATGAGAATGGCTCAATAAAAACTGCAGTGTCCACGAGATTCCATGAAATTAATTACAACAGGATCGAGAAGGAAATTAAGTTGCAGCTGAATGCACAGGACTACAGTGCATTTTATTCTCAGACTCAGCATTCCCCGTATAGCCTCATAAATCCATGTATTTCATATGGGAAAAGACACCTTCCCTGCGATCCAGTCCAGCTGAGGGCACACGTTGTCAGTTCAGATATAAATGTCAACACAGGTTCTTTAGATGGGGTCAAAGAATTTCCTAAAAGCTAGATTTCTTCATATAGAGCTAGAGGCTAAAGGTTCGCTAAGATATGTCTTCATTCATTTCAAAGCAACTCCAGGTAAGGACAAGGAAATGCATTCCATTAACTGCCAATGTTCTACATCAGTGCACAACCACTGAGCAGCGCTACTAAGAGGAAACAGTGTTTGAGATGAGTAAATATGGCCGCCGCCGTGTAATTACAACGAAACATAACCGCTGTTTTTTAAAACATTAATGCATGATGATCAATGATCATAAATCACATTAGGCTGATCATTCATCTGTACATTGAAAAAACAGCAGTCTTTGCCGGGAGCTTTGTTGTTGACAGAATTTTTCAGATTCTTCAGACTAAATGGAAGTTGAGGATGCTGCTTTTTTTCCTTTATAGGTCTAACTAGGTTCTCTTAAGTTGGCCATACACAAACAAGGCAGATGGAGGAATCTCCCCTGCTGGGACATTGTGTGCTGACAGTAGGAAAACTGTCCCTTCATCAAAAGTCCATCAAATGATTGACTTCTGTTGAGCAGAGAAGGCCAAACACTAATTGAAATTTCGCTGGTCCCTGCTGAACTGGCGGAATTTCCATTGGTGTATGGCCAGCTTTAATTGCCACTTGCCCTTCTATCTAGATTGTAAGCTCTCAAGAGCAGGGTCCTTGTAGTCATCTTGTATCAAAATGTATTATAACTGTACTGTCTCCCTTTACTTTGTAAAACACTATTCAAATTGTTGAACTTGGTATGCCAGCCACATCCTGCCATTGACTGTGATAGACTGCAAGCAGTGCTGCTGGATGCTGCACTGGTGCATTCCTGGCACACTAAAGCGACAGGATGCATGTTAAGCACAGACACCCGTGTGCAAGGGACCTTATAGTGTCTACACATAACTCAGCCCCCAGCATGTTATACTCACCCATCCGCACTCCATTGCTTCATCTCCGCACTGCTGTAGCCCATGCTAACAGAGTGGACACACATGATCTGCCCTGTGTGACAGTGCCCCAGGCCTGAGTGGCCAATTACCAGTTGCAAACACCAGAGCTTAGGCAGGAAAGTGTACTGCAGGGAAGAGGCAGTGGGGAAGCATGACTAGGAAAGTAAACATTCCTGGGGGGTATGCTATGCATAGAGGAGCTAAAATTACTTTTCCAGTGTTTTTCCACTTTTGCAGTCAAATTGGGATAAGAACTGCTTTATATTTGTTACATGTTCACATTAACACTGCATAACATACAAAAAAAATTGCTGGTTACTGTTTTAAGTGCTCTTTACTTGCTTAAAAAATCCTTATATACCCCCCCGTTTTGTAATTTAGAAGGGGGCTGTGAAGTAAAGTTTAACATAAATAGCCCTGTGTGTGTTTGCAGTTCTTAATTATCAGCTGTCATAGATTTGAACACTGTCTGTCCTAAGAAACAATTTAGAAATTGCCCTCCTGCATTGTATGTTAATGAGGTATAACACATTCTGTGTGGGGACAAAGACACTGTGTCCAGAAATGGCCGCTTCCCTTAGAAACATTGAAATATTTTTTTTTTTTAAGTGTGCTGTGTGAATGGGAATGAATTACAAACATATAGTTGGGTTTTCTCAAATATGACTGCAAATGTGGAAATATGCTTTAACCACTTGCCCTCCAGAGGATTTACCCCCATTCCTGACCAAGCCATTTTTTGCAATATAATAACGGTGCTGCGTTATTTTAACTGACAATTGCGCGGTCATGCAACGCTGCACCCAAATGAAATTTATGTCCTTTTTTCAGATAAATTGAGCTTTCTTTTGGTGGTATTTGATCGCCTCTACGGTTTTAATTTTTTGAGCTATAAACGAAAAAAGACCGACAATGTTGAAAAAAAAAACAAAAAAAAAACAACTTTTTACTATAAAACATTTCAAGAAAAAAAATGTAAAAAAACAAACAAATTTCGTCATAAGTTTAGGCCAAAATGTATTCTGCTACATGTCTTTGCTAAAAACAAATCCCAATACGTGTAAATTAATTGGTTTACATGAAACTTGTAGTGTCTACAAATGCAGGATACATACTCGAATTTCTTTTTTTTTTATACCAAATGGTGGCGATCAGCGATATAGCGAGACTGCGGCGGGCATTCTGATACTGGGGGGGAACTATCTAATTGCCACTGACATCCCCAGTAACACTAATACAGTGATCAGTGCTAATAAAAAGCACTGACACTGTACTAACGACACTGGGCAGGAAGGGGTTAACATCTGGGGCGATCAAAGGGTTAACTGTGCTATGTGTGTTTTACTGTGTGCTGTGTTTTACTGTGTAAGCACCGGCTGCTTTTTATTGCTCTGATATCTGGAGCTGACAGGGGAGAGAACTGTATTATTTACATACAGACCTCTCCCCCGTCAAGTGTTCCTCGGTGATCGCCAGGGGGGATTCTCTATCCGGGACCTGGTGATCAACAGCTGTAGCTATCAATGGGGGTGTGGGTAGTGCGCCCGCGCCCCTACCCAGAAATACAAAATCACGTATATATATGTGATTTTGCGCACCCCTGCCGCCCTGTAGAAGTAGTTCTGCTATAGGGCAGTTGGGAAGCGTTTAAAGAATATGTCAACCCAACATTTTATCTTCCTGATATGTGCCTGCTGCACCAGCATTTTAGTATCCTGTTCTTTGTATTGGTCCCTTTGTGTGAAATCTCTGGTGTTCCTGCTAGCCCCCCCCCCCCCCTGCTTTCCAAATAAAAACTGACCACGCTAGGCATGACAGCACAGTTTTCTTTTCTGGCTGAGCTGAGAACTCAGGCTGCTCTCCTCCAATGATCAGACTTGTGCTGGCACTACACCCCCCGTGCAGCAATTCACTGGGAAGACCAGCTCTCTAAGTCTCCTTAGGCAGCTGAGAACAGAGGTTTTGTAATTGCTTATAAATAAGTGAATAAATTTTTTTTTTTAAATATATAATTTTCTTTTTATATAAATACTCAAATGTTTTGCCTTTTATTCCTATTTTAAATGGAATGTGTTGTTTTACAATGGAAGAGTTCACATATACTTTAAAGATTGGATCACCTTTGGGAGATGTAGAGCTAGCTATCCTGGGGCACTGTGTCTGACAATCTAAGTGAGTCAGGACAGTGTAAGTGATGCACCATATAGATTCCAAGCTTTCAGGCTTGCTACAGTGCAGAAGGGACAAGAGAGAATTTTGAAGCTTTGCAAACAGACTAGAAACACACTGATAGTTGCTGAAACAAAAAAAAAACAAAACAAAAAAAAACACAGCAAGTCTAGGCATATTCTCCACGTTGATAGACAAACCCCGGAATGGTCTATGGAATCCTTCAAGATGTCCAAAGGGTGCCCTTATATTTAAAGGGCAGACAAACACACAGGCACATTCCGGCTGCCCTCGTCTCTCTATCTGCCAGCTTGCCCATGAATACTATATGAACTTTTGGCTCACAGGATGTCTAGCAGACCTCAACACATTAGATCTGCCAGACTGACCAAATGTCATCTTATTTCTATGTATAAATTAATGCTCTTCTGGATCTTAAAAAATGTTACTCCAACATTTCATATTCCTAATGTCTGTCTGTTGTACCATGTACTTGTGTTAAACAGTATCCTGTTCTCTTTGTATTTCCTTCTTTATCTGAAATGCCTGGTGTTGCAGCCAGTCCCCGTGCTTTCCTATTTCAAACTGAGAGCACATCCATCCCAGTGTGGTCAGTTTTTTTTGCTGTGCTTGAAGCACAGTCTGCCAGTCCTCCAATGGTCAAGACTTGTTCTGACTTGTACCCCTGCACAGCCATTCATTAGGAAGATCATTGTATGCTGTATGTCTCTAGCTCTTTAGGCCTCTTATGCAGCTGAAAATACAGTCTATGTGATAATTTATAAAAAAATGAATATATATATATATATATATATATATATATATATATATGTACACACACAATTATTAAAAAAAAAGTATTTATAATATTTTTAAATCCATACACAAATGTTTTGCCTTGCATTTCTATTTTAAATTAAATGGGTTGTTTTACATGGTTCACATTTACACCGTATTGCCAAAAGTATTGAGACGCCTGCCTTTACACACACATGAACGTTAATGAAGTCTGTTGGGCTCAATATTGAGTTGGCCCAACCTTTGCAGCTATTACAGCTTCAACTCTTCTGGGAAGGCTTTCCAAAAAGTTTAGGAGCATGTCTGTGGGAATGTTTGACCATTCTTCCAGAAGTGCATTTGTGAGGTCAGGCACTGATGTCGGATGAGAAGGCCTGGATCGCAGTCTCCGCTCTAATTCATCCCAAAGGTGTTCTATTGGGTTGAGATCAGGACTCTGTGCAGGACAGTCAAGTTCCTCTACCCCAAACTCGCTCATCCAAGTCTTTATGGACCTTGCTTTGTGCACTGGTGAGCAGTCATGTTGGAACAGGAAGGGGCCATCCCCAAACTGTTCCCACAAAGTTGGGAGCATGAAATTGTGAAAAATGTCTTGGTATACTGAGGCCTTAGAAGTTCCAACCCCTGAAAAAAAGTCCCACATCATAATCCCCCCCTCCACCAAATGTTACACTTGGCACAATGCAGTCAGACAAGTATCGTTCTCCTGGCAACCGCCAAACCCAGAAACATCTATCAGATTGCCAGACAGAGAGGCATGATTGGTCTCTCCAGAGAACATGTCTGCACTGCTCTAGAGTCCAGTGGCCGCGTACTTTACACCACTGCATCCGATGCCTTGCATTGCACTTGGTGATGTAAGGCATGGATGCAGCTGCTCGGCCTTGGAAACCCATTCCATGAAGCTCTGTTGTTGTGCTAATCTGAAGGCCACACAAAGTTTGGAGGTCTAGCTATTGACTCTGCAGACATTTGGCGACTTCTGCACACTGTGCGCTTCAGCATGCGCTGACCCAACTCTGTTATTTTATGTGGCCTGTTGTTCCCAGTTGCTTCCACTGTTGCTGTTGTTCCCAGTTGCTTCCACATTGTTATAATACCACTAACAGTTGACCGTGGAATATTTAGTATCAAGGAAATTTAACGGATGGACTTATTGCACAGGTAGCAACCTACCATGCTTGAATTCACTGAGCCCCTGAGAGCGACCCATTCTTTCACAAATGTTTGTAGGAGTCTGCATGCCTAGGTGCTTGATTTTATACACCTGTGGCCATGGAGGTGATTGGAACACCTGAATCCAATGATTTGGAGGGGTGTCCCAATACTTTTAGCAATATAGTGTACTTTAATCCTGGGGCCTATAGTTTTCCACTATTCTCTAAATTGTTGATTCTTAGTTCTGAGTAGTAAGATAACTAAAAGATTTGATGTAGCCTACACCACCCTTTCAATTGTTGCTAGTTCTGAGCAGTCTGAATGGAGTGAAGTGCTTGCTGATTCGTTGAATTGATTAATTTTGCACATTGGTTTCTGCCTTATTAATTCTGAGTTGAAGTGACAAAATCAAGGGAGATGAATTTTAACACAGCGAATAACCAATATCCTCCAGAGATTTTTCTCTTGCTGTACTCAGGCACATTGTAAGAATCACTAGATTGACAACATGTTTTATAAATCAATTACAACTGTTGTGTTCAGGCAAAGAAATGGTATATATTACAAAGCTTGGAGTGTAGTCAATGAAATGATGTCTCCACTGTCTACTGCCTCCAGAATAAGGCCAGATACTACATTGTACAAATGAAAGGTTCTACACCCATCATTATTTCTGCAGTACTGTAGAATGGAATCAAAGGAAATCCTTAGATGTGATAACACATTAGAGAGGTTGAGGTGAACGAAGGTGGCGGCAGGATGAAAAGTGCAATGTCTTTACAATCCAGCTTTATATTAAACAAGGCACAAGACAATCCATTTCTAAATATACGAGAAAAGAAAAACTTCCTGCAGTAATTAAAAATGGTAAAATCCTAGGAATAGTAAAAATTATTTTGGGAGGAAAAGCACCAGGGATATAACTTTTCCATAATGAAGTTGATCTAAAATTTTTCAAGCTGATGGTTCCTTTAGAAATCCTCCCTTCACTGATGCTGGTCCTCTTCATATCTGTGAAATTTCAAACTTAGAATTTTACCATCATTATTTACTGCAGAATATTTTTTTTCTACCATACAGTATTTAGAAATTTCAACTTTAATGAAGAACTCCAGGAATTACAGAATTTTTAAAAACTGCTGGCTTATAAAGGGTTGAGTCCAAGGAGGTTTATGCCACCTTGTGAACTTATTTATTTTATTTACCATTTACTGATTGCTGGGAGTTTAGCTATCTGGCAGTTCGGTGCTGGATATTTGGGTCTCAGATACAAGCTGTTTAAGAGTCATGTGCAGCTGCTATATCCACCCCTTCTCTTCTCTTTCCCAATCACAGAAGGCTTTGAGGGGAGGGGCAGGCAGTAACACAGCAGCTGCATCTTTCAAGTCAGAGGGCTGCAAGTATAGCGACATATAAAAACATAAAGTCTACAAGGTGGATTCATACACCTTGTTGGACTTAAAAGGGAAATGTACTCTGGAGTGATGAGACCAAGATAAATGTTTTTTAACTGATGGACTCAAAACTGTATGGTATCGCAAAGGTGAGGAGTAAAAAAAAAAATACATGGTGCCTACAGGGAAACATGGTGGTGGCAGTGTCCTTCTGTGGGGCTGCATGAGAGCTGCATTTCATTGGTGTTATCATGAATTCACAGATGTACTGCTATATATTGAAAGAGAAGATGCTACCATCACTCCTTAGTCGTTGTGTACTTTTCCAACATGACAATGATCCAAAACACACATCTAAAGGCCACTGTTGCATTTCTGAAGAACAGGGTGAAAGGGATTCAGTGGCCAAGTATGTCTCCTGATCTGAACCCAATCGAACACCTATGGGGCATGCAGACTCTAAAAGAGGTCGTTCCTGAAGAATGGAAAAAGATAGATGTTGCTATATGTCGCCAACTTGTTCATTCCATGCCTAGAAAACTTGGTGCTGTCCTTACAAATCATGGAGGTCATACAAAATACTAGATGTAGTCGTTTTTGTTGTGGGGTGTATTCATTTCTGCATCAACTAATTTGAGTAAAACTGAAGATTTTGTAATCTAAGTTATATTATTAACCTTACTTTCATGTAATGAGCTGAACAAATGTTTTGTCAAAACTTTGGAAATTGTTCTTGTGTTATTGATTAAAATCTTATTTTTCAAAAGGGGTGTACTCATTTAGGCTGAGCACTGTACACTCCTATTTCATTGTTTCATGACTAATCTTCTACCTGGAAAGATTATGGATAATTTAAATGGGATGTGACAGGCTAAATCAGGAGTGCTCAACTTGTGGCCCACGGAGTGCTCTGATGTGGCCTGTAACCTCAAACCAGGAAAGCGCCTGCTCATGCTCTGGGATGGCAGGTCAGCAAGCCTGGATTGGGATCAACAGGTTGCTGACCCGCCATCCTAGGGCATCATGGTGCATGGAGCAGGAGCCAGCAGATGGTTGTGGAGGGAGCAGGCGCTGCATACGCCGATGCTTCTTCTGTAGAACCGACTCCTGTCTCAGGTGCAGTGATACCAAGTGAATTTCACCTGAGAACTATTTAGCAGCCTGGAGAACTTTACCAGCTGAAGCTGGAAGAGGAAAAGGTCAGTATATTAAACATCACATACAGTGCAATTTTGCAACGGGAATATTAGCACTTATAAAAAAATATTATTAGGCTGCTTTCACACTGATCTGCAGGTGTGGCTTTCCCGAAGGTTAGATATGCTGAGCCAAAGACTTCTATTATATTCTGAGGGTTTGGTGCGCTTTCTGTAAGCCCACCAAAACTCCTGAATGCAGACGTTTTGATGCGCTTTCAGAAAGTGAACCACACGCACAAGTTTTAATAGAAGTCTATGGGAAAGTTCAGCTAACTCACAAGTGCACTGTGGGTGTGAAAGCAGCCTTATAGGGGGCTCAAGACAGCAAAGGGGTTTTGGGGGGTGGTAAAACCCCATAGTTCATTCTGGCCTGCGACCGGTTACCAAATCACTTAAGTGGCCCTTGCTCCTCAAAAAGTTGAACACCCCAGGGCTAAATGTTTCTATGTTATCTATTTTTAAAAGCATATAAAGCTGCCAAGTGCACTTGAACAGGGGCCCAAATCTTGGAAATAAACTGATACCATCAAGAAATGTGTAAACTGCCTTGGCCAGCTAGGATAGAAGGGAGTAAGTCCATGGTAGTAAAAATCACAGGTCTTCCAAAGTTTATCAATTTTTGCACACACATTCACACACCCATACACATTATTGAAAACACTCAATTTCAGCACTCTTTCACATATCATACTGCCAGAAAAAATAGTTTTTGCTGCCAACAGCAACCAATCAGGTTTCTTCTTCTTTTATGTTTATAGGCAGATAAGATAAAAAGTAACTGATTGGTTTTATGATATCCCCAAATTCAAGGATCCTTGCCCCACCATTTCAACAAGCTAAGCCATATATCCTTGAGCAGTGTTGTCACCTGTCAGCTGATGGATTATATATAGGAACACATAGCAAGTCAACCTACTGCTTACTAAAGGGGATAGGGAAGTCTTCTCAGCAAGAGGTCCTAAGAGCATTCCATTATACTGGAATGGGAGAATTCAAGAGAATACAACAGAAAAATCTAGCTCAACAGAACTTTTTTTTTGGTGAAGGCCATCTACAAAAATCAAATTAATGCAAAAGATACTTTTCAAAGACAACAAATGTTTAACTCACATTTTTTTTTGTTTCCATTATGTCTATAGGTAACTATAGAAACCAGCCAGAATTCATCTTTCAGCAACAGAACTTAAGTTTTTAACTTTAATATGATACCATAGGTACAGAAAAGGCCTACGGGTGACTTTAAACTTGCAGAAGTGAGGCACAAAGATATTTAATTTAAAATGGTTGTAAACTTCAGACAAAAAATATTAACAAAGCATACTCCTCTATAGTGTGTACTTGCCTCTATTAAGAGCTAAGTGTCATTTCTGTCTGCTGCCTCACTCCTTTGCTATCAGCATGAGTCACTTCTTATATGTTTTCCTGACACCAAGAAAAAAATGGTGACAGAGGAGGGAGCTCCAGCAGATTGACAGCCTTAGCTCTGTTCCTATGAGCTGAGTGAAGAGGGTGTCCCCTTTCCCTCCAATCAGCTCTCAGAGTTCTCCTCACTGAGCTCTGCAGTGTTAAATTTCAGCTCTCTCCTTTTTTCTGAACTCTTAGACAAGCTTTATAAACTCAGCACTTTGAAGTAATGTAGAGAAAAAATACTGCAGATAAACAGGTACAACTAATATTGGAGGATTTGTTTCATCTCTGTGTATCACCTGAGGCCAGTCACTTCAGTGGGTATATGTAAGGGTTTATAACCACTTTAACAATACTACCAGATTTCCCCGTGCTGCTGATTTTTTGTTACGCTGGCTAAAAACATAAAGATTTAACAGGTGAGAACATAGGTAGAAACTGAAATTCATATACAAAATCATGCATGTACATGAGAAAACATCAACAGCTGGAGATCTAGCTCCCATGCTGAACTTTTGTTCAGCCAGGGAAAAAACAGGAACTGCAGTACAAGCATATACAGTCTACATGACATTTTCCACTCATTTGCTAAAACTGGTCATACGCTCTCCCATCTGACCTCCTTCCATTTAATTGAAGGATAATTGTTAGCCATACAGTGCCTGCATCCAATCAGATGCAGGCACTGTTCCGGCATTCTGATTGCTGGGGGGAAGCCAGGTGTCAGAATACAATAACTGAAGTGGGAGAAATTCATCCATTTGCAATGTTTAGCGTGGATGGAGGAAACTGTTAAGATTTTTTATTCAAACCACAGGCTGAATTAAAAAACCCATGTGTGTATGGCCACCTTAAGTGAACATTGGCTGGATAAGGGAGTTGCCTGCACCACATGGGCTAATCATTACAAGTTCAGAATTAAAACAACCTGGTCTGCTATACAACTGACCAATGTATTGGTAGCTGTAGAACAGTTTTACTTTAATTATTTCTTTCAGCTATCTTGCTCCCTATTTCACAGCTTTGTGAAGACACTGTCTTAACACGCTTGCTATATTTCCCAAATCAGAATAGACATTATGTGAGGTGGT